AATGGATCAATTTAAGATAAAAGCACAGTTAGCAAGATAAGGACAGTTGGCAAGAGGCCTGCCACGGCCATACAGTTTGCAAGCAATATAAGTGTCTGTGTTTATTTGGTTGGGTCTGAGCGGCTGTGGGACTGGCGGGTGACAGAGATTTGTCCTGATCGTGGGCAAGGCAGGAAAAATCAAGCTACACACAGTCTTCTTATTTCTTCCAAAAATACTGCTGCTGATTATTATGGGGTAGAAGTTACAGTGAGAGCTATTGAGGGATGTGAACAGAATGTGAATGGAGCTTAACTACAGGTAAGGCTATATTTTAGAACTTTTCTCTGAACTGCATCTAAGATACTACATTTCTTACTTCCATAATGAAAGGAGGTCATATAAAATCAATGTTTATGGATTTATTTGTTTGTTTATGGCATTGATGCTATATGCCAGATGGTCTTTGTACCACTACATCTTCCGGTACACACCAGGGACATTGCATTTCCAAGAAGAGGTGTGTAGAATGGAAAAGAAGGGCTGACATTTCAGGTGCCTTGTTAGAAAGATGGCAGAAGTTCTGAGGGCGTATCTGCAATGGTTAATCTCGACTGTCAACTTGGCTGAATCTAGAACTGAGAAACATAGCTGTGAGGGATTTTCTCGACTAGGCTAATTGAAGTGGAAAGACTCACCCTCAATGTGGGTAGTATCCACTAGCAGTGGTCCGAATATCAGGAAGTCAGAGGGAAAGCTTTAGCTTTTTGCCTGCTTCCATTTGTATCTTGCTGGCAAGCTCATCCACTCTGTTTGCAAGTTCATTCACTCTGTTCACAAGCTCATCTTGTTTGTAGTTGCTGTTGCCTCCACCACACCCTCTACTGACATTAGAAACCAGCATTTTTGGTCTTCTACCATGGACTGAAGCCTGTGGTTCTCCAGGAATCCCCCAGGCCTGAGCAGCTCTTGGTTCTCAGTCTCTCCAGTGTGAAGGCAGCCATTGCTGGACTGCCCAGACTGCACTGTGTAAGTCACTCAAATAAGTCCTGCTTTAATACATGCATTTTATAAGTTATGTTCCTTTATGGAACCCTAACTACTTTATATTTTTGTGTCAAAGTAGGAAATGAAATCATGGGGCCTGGGAAACATCAAGAAAAGTGACTCTTCCAAAGTCACACAGCAAGTTAATTCTGTGGCCAAAACAAATCTGAGCCAGCTGTTCCCACCTACCAAACAAGCATACCTTCCTCCTGCTTTTCCCAGACCTGCTCTCTGGTCCCCAACCATGAAATTCACCTTGGCTATGATGCGGCACAAAGGAGCCCCCTCCTGGGTCAGGCTGAACAAGTTCCCTGTGGTAGACTCCATGATGTAGATATTGTCAGAGGTATCAATTTTTCTCACAAGTGCCTAAGAAAAGAAAAAAGTCAGCTGGTTAACTTCCACATGCCCTTTGCTCCTTTTCCTCAATGAAATACCAGTGGGTCCATGCTTCTAATAATCTCTATGGAATCTACAGTCCTGTCCCACCTACTTGTAGGAGCAATAGAACACTAGCTATGGGTGAGGTCTAGGCACCATTGAAAAGATGCAGAGATAGAGCATCATTTCAAACCAATAGTGCATGGGGATCAAATGAGCTCTATTTTAGTTCACAGAAGGCCTCAGAAAATACCACTTGGTTGTGCTATAAGTTCACAATGAGAACAGAAACCACAGACAAAATAAACAAGCATCAATTGTGACAGCAAAGGCATGTCCATAGTGACAGGCAAAGAATTTGTTCATTCTGTGTGGCTGTTAGACAAGGATGAACCCCAGCTGGTGATGGGTTCAAGGGCTGAGACAAGCACTCCACAGTAGCATCACACTGCCTGGGGATGTTTGTATTGGGAATACAACCATGAGAAATAGTGACACCAGAATTCTACTGACAGGAAACTCCAAGAGTAATGAATGTTATACTGATCAAAGATGAAACACTCTAGTATGTGTGGAAAGGCTTGGATATAGGACCACAATATTAAGGAAGAGCCAGGGAAGCCATTAACAAATAAGATATGAAGATTATTCCTAGAAGAGTTTAGCTAATTCCTGGGGGAGAAAAGCCTTACAAATTGCAATCACTTCATACTCAGCCATTAGCTTTGGCACATATGACTCATTATTGATTATCAACTATTCTCACCTACTAATGAATGCAGTTGCTCAAGTTTCCCCTGAGAAGTATGGATATGGAGACCTGCCTTCCTGGGCCTCCTATAAGAAAACAAAATCTGGAAAATATTGGTGCAAATCTCAGGTATCTTTTTAGTGGTTCTCTGTGTATACATATACATGTGTGTGAGCATATGTGCATGCCCGTGTGCACCATGTGTGTTTGCATGTATATGCACTTGTGTGTGCATGCATGTATGTGCACATGTGCATGTATATATGCCTGTGTGCATGTATATATATATATATATATATATGTGTGTGTGTGTGTGTGTGTGTGTGTGTGTGTGTGTGTGTGTGAATGTATGTATGCAAGAATATGCACATGTGTGCAGGCATGGGTATGTATGTATCTCTCCAGCTAATATTTTGATACAAGGTCTCTCACTGAACCCAGAACTCACCAATCCCATCAGTGAGCTCAAAGGGTCTTTCTGTCTTCCTCTCCAGCTCTAGAATGCCAGACACACACCACTGCACCAGCTTCTTTAACATGGGTGGATCTGGGAGATTGAATTTAGGTCTTTGTTCTTGAACAACAATTACTTTACAGGTGGAGCCCTCTCCCCAGCCCTTTTTCATTTTGTCTTGAAACAGAGACTCATGCAACCCAGGCCCAATTCTCCTGCCACTGTCTCTAAGCGCTGAGATTATAGGCATGTACTGCAACCCCTGCACTGTTTATTTTAAATAGTAAGAGGACATGTTTTTAAATAACCTGGTGTTGTAGAAAGGACTCTCAAAGGAAGGAAGGGATCTGGGCTCTAGTCTCTGCTTGTCTTTAGTGCTCTGTTCTAACCAAGAACGAATCTGGTTGAGGGCAGATTCTGAAACTAAAATGCCTGAGTTCCAATCCTGACTATGCCATTTCTGGCACTGTACCCTAGAGCAGATGATTTGCTGTAGCCTTTATTTGCCTCAGTTTCCCCATCTGTACAATGTTGGAATAAGCAGCATCTGTCTCTCACAGGATGCTCTCATCCTGAACTTGCTAACATGCACAGAGAGAACTTCCCAAAGAGCCTACCATAGTGAAGTAAAACACTGTTAGAAGTCATCATTTTGAGGTCTTGGGAAAATGAGATAAACTTCTTAGGACTTGGTTTCACCACTTATAAATTGATTAAAATGAAAAGATTTGGGTATCTCTCTCTCTTGTTTCTTCTTTATTCAAACTCACAGAATTCTTTGCACACAGCATGTTAATCCTCTACATAGCGCAGTCTTAGATTAAGTATGTATTTAAGCAAACTACATTAAAAATAAAAATATTTTATTCTCTAAGACTTGGTAGGTACCTCATGCAAGAGACTCAACAAAAGCTAGCACGGATCTCTATAATGAACATACATGTTCTGCTCCTTCCCCACTCTTGCCATGAGCAGCTACACATACAACACACACTCAAATGGAAATGTAGATTTCATATATTGGGGTCCTGTACCTAAATGATAATTACCTAATGTTCCTGATGAGTGTTTGCACTTGAAGCAAATTAGCATTAAATTAAACAATTCGAGCCCAATGTCTTCTGCAATCAACTGCTAATATTAGACCATTTATGTCTGAGAATAATTTCA